GTTGGGGATTTTCACCTTTACAAACACTCCAACATTTTAATTTAGAAAATATTAGATAGATTAAGGTTTATACAGCACTTGAAAAAGAATATTAAAGTGAATGGTATTATATCCAAGTTATTTGAATATTCGGAGTTAACTCATTTGCATTATTAATATTATGTTCTGTTAAACCTTTACTTTGCTTAATTTATTAGCTTTTTAAGGACAAATTAAACAGATTCAGGATTTTGATTTACATTTTAATTCATATTACAATTTCATTGTGTTGTAAAATTATTTTATTATGGCTACTAGCTGTTGCCCGCGACTTCGTAAGCGTGGTATTAGAAAACATACAAACTATATAAATAAGAAAAAGCTACGTATACTTCGGGAACCCGATATTTCTCGGGGATGAATCTTATCCCATGTACGAGTACTCCAGACTTTGTTTTATATCTGTGCCAAATTTCAATAAGATATGTTGAACCGTTGTAGAATGATCGAGTAAACATTAAAAAACCAAAATAATGAATCCCACGGGAACTGTAAATATTCTCGGGATAAAAAGTAGTCTATGTGTTCTTGCAGACTATGCTCTAAACCTGTGCCAAATTTCATGAAGATCCGTTCAGCCGTTTAGGCTACGAACGCTAACAAACATCCATCCATCTAAACTTTCGCATTTACTATTAGTTAGATTATAAAAAGGCTTGTAGAACACATAGGCTACTGAATACGTGTTTTATTTCACATGTACGAAGTCACGGGTATAAATAAGTAAATAGTTTGTAAATTGTTATTTCTCTCGATCGCTATGTTCAAATATACTCAAATAGGTAAAAATTGTTCGCAATAGATCATACCTTTTTCCAATCAATATGTACGTCACGTAGCGGACAGGCGTTATTAACATTTCCCCCAGCAAACGCCTGCATTAATATTTATATACGATTTGGTAACGAATTTTTATCACTCCATCAAAATGTAGGTGAAAATGTCGATATTTTAATTAATATTAGATTATCCTAAGGCCTTTAAGGCTTTACTATAAAAGTAAGACAATTTCAAATACATTTCAGCTTACGTCCACATTTTTTATATGATTTATGCTGGGGTAAAGTTTCCATTGATTTTATCGTTACCTAGTCTAAGTAACTTAACTTTAACTTGCAGACAAAGTCCGCTACATGGTGTTAAATGCTTTATAGGATTTTGTTAATACTATTTTCGGTTTTTCTTTATTTTTCACTTTCTTATTTTGTATTGTTTGTTTATAATTGTATGGTTTCGGTATTTAGTTTAAGGTATTATGGGACGGTCATGTTCTAAAGAACCAAAGTCCATATAAAAATAAAGAAAAAAAAATTAACTTAAATACGCGTGGTTAAATGTACCTGAGAAACCAACCATTAAATACGGATGTTTGACGAATAATAAAACAACTAAAGAGTTTATGGGTATATTACAGTTAATATTTTTAGCTGTTCTATTGAGCGTGCACACCTTGGACTAAACTATCGCAAAACCGTTTAGTCGCGTTATGATTCCTATGAGCTTTTATCGAGATAGGCCCATTAATAATTAATTAAGGGTAGGCAACGCATCTGCAATTGCGGATGTCTATGGGCAGCGGTCGCTCCATTTCGGTGGATTCAAGTGGCCGCTTGCGAGTTTGACACTTTATATTATAAAAAAAAAATAATTTATTGTTGTGTAACAAAATAGTTGAATGGGCTGCGAAACAATCGACAATCGCACAACAGTTGTGTTGTTGTTTAGTCAAAGATGTGCAACCGCACCAAATATTTTTGGTTTCTAAAAAAACCTTAAAAGAATGTTTTTTTTTTAATACTATCGCATAATGTTCATATCATTTATTGTACAGAATAAAATAAATTTGTTTACCAATTCTGTTTTTATATGGTTAACAACAAATTAAACAAATTGTGTAACAATTCGTTAAAACAAGAGCACGGAATTACGTTGATAATGTGATAATATTGGTTGGTGTAATTAAAAGCTCTGTGAACTGTTCCCTAATGAATGGCACTCATCGAATGTACTCGAATCAGTGTTGCTTAGTTTATATTGAATTAAATCAATGTTATTTTGTGTTGATTTTAAGAGGATTTATTACCAGAGTGCTAAAGATGTTTTTCACTTGTTTTTGCCTTTGTCTACCCACAGCTAGATAAAATCTTTTTGAAGACTTCTTTTCAAATAAATGTTATAATTAAAATATCAGTTTATTTATAAAAAAAACATATTTTAAAATACAGTTAATAGATGGCGCTATTATCTATTCTAATATAGTAAAGAGGAAAGATTTGTATTTATGTTTGTATTGAAATAACTCAAAAACTACTAAGCTGATTTCAAAAATTCTTTCACCCCTAAAAAGCTACGTTATCAGTGATTAACAGGCCATATTTCATTATTTTATAATTTCACGTGGACGAAGTCGCGATCAATCATTAATGTGACATTTTATTGCTAAAAATTCATTTTTGCTTTCAAATCAAAGTCAATAGATGGCGCTATTGTATCTAATACAGCCCTAATCAGTATCTTCCTCAAATTAAGGTTAGGTGGTTTATTGTATTGAACTTTTTTATGCGGAGAACACGACAAGGCAGTACAATACTGTTAAAATTCTGATGCTTTCTTACTTTTTTTTATAAGTTAAACTTCAAATTTAGCTTCAATAAAGTATAAATTAAAGTACCAAGGCACAGATTATGTTATGTAGGAACCGGTTTACAGCTGACCTCCCTAATGACCCACATATATTGTTTATTTGAGCTGAAAATGTATCGTTGGCACATTGCCAGATACAGGAATGAACAAACAAGACCAAATCATTCCCTACATAACATTGTTTAGGAAACCTATTCAAATATATGTTAGACTAGCTGTTGCCTGCGACCTCGTCCACGAAATATTAAGATAAAAAAGTAGCCTATATGTCCGTCTATGTCCTACTCTTCAGTGAAAGTCTGGTCGAATTCGGTCCAGCTGTTTCGGAGATTACCCGTAACAAACGCAGCTTGCAGACAGACAGACAAAAAAATATTAAATGCGATTTTCGTCATCAGCAATACACCAGCTTCCCGAATTTTGGAATTTTTCTTTCTGTTTGTAAAACAGACACTCCAATTTTATTACATGTATAGATGTATGGAAGAGCAGCACATACTGTGTAAGGGCAAATTGAGGATTAAATTAATAAAGTTAGAATAATAAAAATAAACTTAATTTTGATTACGGATAGCTGCTCCAGTGCGGCTTCATCCGAATGAAATGTCAAAATTCAAATGCACAAATGACAATTGCTTCCTTGATGTTGGCAGTAACTTATGGTCTCTTTTCCACATTAGGATTTTTGTCTAAAATATTTACCCCCTAAGTTTACTGGCGTGAAAATATATAGCCTAAAGCGTGACGTAAGTGTAGGGCTAATTATTAAAAAAGAATTATTCAAAAATATGCTGTAATTGCTGACATCTTAGGCAACAAAGCAGTGTGTGTTTACGCTTTATTATAATAGTATAGATGTATTGAAATACTTAAGAAATTCTTAAGTGTACGTCGGTGTTTCCTTGCTCATTTGCACCTTTATATTAAAAAAAAGAGTTTTTATCGATAATTAATTTATTCCCAAAATTGAATACTCGATAAATCAGTTTTCTTGTAGTATTTCGGCTGGTTATTTATTGAAAAAGTTCCCCGCGTTGAAGAATTTAATATAAGAATTCTTTTCCTCCCTTTTATTCGGTAAATTAATTCTGATAAATCATTTCCAATTACTGAATATCTTATTACATATTTCGTATTGAAGGATTTTTAATAAATGCTTATATCATTAGGATGCAAAATTTAAATATGTTTGAAATTTTACTTAAAAAGAAATAGTTGAAATTTACGATTTTTTTATAATATAAGATGGCAAACGAGCAAGCGGCCACCTCAAAAGTGACCGCTGCCTACAAACATCCGCAATTGCAGATAAAGAGGACATTTTTCCTTTCCTATGCATCTCCTCCGCCGTCAAATCCAATTTTCCTTCCTATCCGTTTCTCTTAAGAAAAGGGTGGAAAGGGAAAGGGACTAAAATTAGGCCCCCGGCACCACACTCATTAGACGAAACGCGGAATTACTTCCACTTCACGCCTGTTTTCTGTGTGGTCGTGGTATTGCACTGGGCGAGCCGACCCATTCGTGCGAAGATGTTAAAGCGGGCTCTACCACTGTTACTATGTAATTTATGTCATATACAAGATAGACATTTTTGTTGTGTTAAATATAGTTTGTACAAAACTTCGGTGGATGTCTAGATTATTTATAAAAAAAATCTTACTTTGTTATTCTATCAGGTAGTATTCAAGAATCTCGTGAAAGTTTGTCGCAGACAGCATACGAGATAAGTTAGTACTTTGTAACGTACAAAGCGTTATTTTCCATTTCCTTTCAACAAACTTACAGAATCTGTTTATCTACATCCAGGTCAGTGACGGAATACAAAATTTATTCCACGTATAGATGTATGCCATTTAAGATTTAGTTACTGAGAATGTATGGAACTTGACAAATTTAAAATACTATAAAGTAGAGAGAAAATGTAGGAAAGATTCTGTTGTTAGTAAAGTAAGTAATTTAAATTTATTTCGCTCTGGCGCATATTTACCGCTTGGCGATCGCGCTTTTTTAACGCTCTAGTTCATACGAACGTTTTAAAATGGCTCTTGTCCTTACATTCTGTACATAAAACGTAACAAGGTGCGATAAAAAAGAGTCGTGCCTAAAACGCGCTGCTGTTCATACAGCATCAGATACTTAAAATTCATTTCTTAGATTTCAATGTTTTTTTAACGCGCGTTATAAAAGCGTCCATGTGTATGGGGCCTTATTTTTTCTTGTTATTTAAGCTTAGCTGAGCTTTAAGCTATTTAACACGAAGGAAAAATAAATAGAAAATCTTGATAGAACGATAGTTTTTATTATATATCCAGAAATCATTAGGTATTTTTTTTATTTTCTTCACCGTCTGTTGTTTCAATATTAAATCTAGCGAGTTGCTGTATTTCTAAGTCCGCTACTTCCTCAACATCTGGTATGCGATATGCCATTAGTGATGCACTGATATTCTCACCTGTGCCAGGAAATAATACCTACAACAAGTAAATTCTTAATTTAATAATAGATGGCGCTGGTAGCTTCGAGAATCAATGCATTTATTTCCTTTTGTAACAGAAACTGAATTAACTTTAAGTTCAACAAAAACCATTAAGCTGTTCTATTTATAACGAAATATATAATTTTTATGAACATACCTGATCATTATTTAAATATTTACTATACAAGATTTCATTGAATTTAACAAAACTTAATTCCGCAGCAAGTTCTTGACTTCGTTTCGATGTAAATATTCCGGAAATTGCAGGTACATGGGCACTGGCAGCTAACGCCATCGCTGATTTTAACAACTCTTTACCAAGTCCTAAAATAACAGTGTACAAAGCGTGTGTTTTAGAATTCCCTGATATAAGTTATTCGTTCTTAACTTATCTCACCTTTATGACGATAACTTTCTTCAAGTGCTAATACGTAAACTTTCAAATATTTCCTCACTTCCAACTTGTCGAACAAGTTAACAGACTTCTCAATTTCATTATTGAATGACATTATACTTGCGTATAACAAGTTATATGTTAACTTAACACGACTGAATGTACGGGAGAAAGAACCTAAAATTTAATTTCCTTAAATCATGCTAATATTATCTGAACCCTGGATTTTATAGCCTCATTTACATTTAGCATATACTTATTTTGTAATAAAAAGGGGTAAAACAGCGGCGGGAACACCGAAGACGTCCTCGAGGAGGACGGAGGATCGATGAAAAGGAGACTAGTGACGCTCATGGAACATCAATACCAGAGGAATGGAAATGCTAGGCTTCTTGAAGGACCTTAAGTTCCACAACGCGGCAGTGCGAAGCAGAAAGTTTCGCGAAAACTGTACGGTTCGGTTATTGTAAATTAAATGTTTTCTACTACAATATTAATGCCAGTAATTGTCTTACATTTCTCTTGGATTCGCATTATAATGACTCCAATAAGTTGATCAGTTTCTTCATTCACAGCTGCTATAGACATCTTGTCTTTCATCCATATACGAGCGTTGTTAAGGAATTCTTCCGTCGCCTCTTCGTCGTTTTTTATTTTAACTGAATTATAAGTCACCTGTTGAAAATAATTGAAGTGATCATTGTCTTATTCTGGAGGGCTTCAGGCTTTCATTTCTTATCGTTTATTTTGCGTTGCTTATATATCGCTAGGTTAAGAACTTAAAATGGTCAGCAATCCTTTCTCCTCACCATCACAATTCTAGTTCTGAATCCCAAATGGCCATCATGGATGTGATAAATTTGTCTAGTTTGTTTTAGGTTTACCTCATGATCATCAACTAGCCCTTTTCCCTACGGAGGGTTGACACAGTATATGCTGACATCCGTACATTTCTATCACCCGTCTTATCTGAATCCAATCCCTTTTTAGGCATATCCTTTTTTCACTCAATCCATCCATACTTAATTTTGATAAGTTAACATCCATACTTTCTTCTGTCTTCCTCTACCTTCGTAGCCATCCACATTCAATCCTAACACTTTCTGGTTTGTGTACTCATCCTCTGGTTGCATAACATCTCCATACCACACGAACCTTTCGCTTTTCAATTTGTTGACCACTGGCGCTACCTAAAACTTCCTCTAATATGTACATTCTTTAGGCTTACCTCTTGGTTTAAATAGTGATCGTTCAGTAACTGGGCAGCGTCATCATACCTTGTGTCTTGTAGATCCTCGAATCTTATCCCACAAGGCAATCGACACCAAATCGATGGTGCTTTTATTCTTTCTTCTAAGATCTTCATCTTTTCAATTTCTGTTTCTGCTTCGGTTTTTGCCATAACTCACCTTTCAGTTAACTCTTTGACTTATTCTTGTTCTCTTTAAACTTTTTCTTAGATATTATCGGTAACATACGAATAAAATTTTGACATAATTTCTTCTAGAATCTTCTTATTTAATAGAGTATTTAGAAGTTTTTATGGTTATGTTATTATGTAGCAATTCTCGATATAAATTGTGCAATACACAACCGTACAGGAAGAACGTAACACAATAAGTAAATTTGAATCGGACGTCTTCGATCGAAGACAGCCTGGTACCGAAAATAAAAATTACTCGGCGACTTTCAGCTATAAAAAAAGAAGCGAAACCAGGAAATCAATACACGCCGATACAAGGTGAAAGAAAGAGGTCAACGGATTGTTATACAAAGTAAAGATTATAGTATACGTCTTCAGATAATTTTAAGATAAATCGGAATTTGGATTTGCTTTCAAATTTATTGATTAAAAAAAACTGTGACTTAGTTTTCCTATAATATTACGGAGAATATAAATGGAATGTTAAAACTCTTACGATTCAGTTACTAATTTGGTATGTCAGTAGGCCTATCGACTAAAGCATGAGACATATAGTGTACTTAACACCCCACTACAGTGCTGTTAAAATCTCGATAGTAATTGTAAACATTTTGTATACTTTTTTCAAAATTTTAGTGAATTAAATCGAGATAAAATTAAAAATAACGCCATCTGTTTCAAAAAATAAAAACACTTTTTTAAACCTGATTTTTATTTTTAGTAAAAGCAAAAACGCTGTAGGCTTAAACCGTATATCAGTTTTATCAGGTTAATAAAGTAAAGTTTATGCTACATTGTCGTAAAAATTTATTTAAGGTACATTTTACGATTTTCAATATCAATAAATTGGATACTTGTACCTAAACCTTTCTTAGAGTAAATGATGAATATCATTTGTAACCTACGTAATATACTTAATTAATTGGATATCGCTACGAGAGAGGACTAGAGAAGGGCAGGAATTATTTTAAAACGGTTGCATTTCCAAACACATTCTGTTTACAAAGTAAATACGATATCGTTTTGTTTTGCGGAATTGAAAGGAGATATTCGATACTTATTCCATACGGACTAACAATAGAACTTCTATTAAATAATTTCTATTAAGCTGAAAATCGAATAGAAAAAAGGAAGTAACAAGAAAATTATAGTAATGAAATGTAGGAAGAGTTCCTTAGTTTTTGTTACTGCAGAACCTTAAAGCCAGCACCGTAAGCGGCCATAGATTAAAGAATTCAGTGAATGTAATTACTAAAATTAGTTAAATTGCATTGGTTATGGTTCATCGTTTATAAATATAATAAAACTGGAGTGTCTGTTTGTAACATCGAAAGAAAATACATATTTGCGTTTCTAGTAACGAAAATCGCATTTAAAAATGATTTGTCTGTCTGTCTGCAAGCCGCGTTCGTTCCTGGTTATTTCCAAAACGAAAGGACCTATTTCGACCGGACTTTCACTGAAGGGTAGCTAACAGACGGGCTTATTATAGGCCACTTTTTTATCTTAATATTGTGTGAATGAAGTCGTAGGCAACAGCTTGTTAACATAATAAAATAACAACAAACAATTAATACTATTATTAATAATTTGTTAAATCACTTCTTAAAAAAAACTATCGTTAAGACAATTTTAACTTGCTCATATAATATTTGCAGGTGCATTTATTCTTAGAATTTTGTACCAAAATTAACAAAACATGCAAGAAACTTTCTAAACAACGTTACTTAATGAAGTAATTAAATGTGCTTCAGTTGTAAGAATAACTGCTTATTTCGCAGCAGGTGAAATTTACGATGTCACGCGCTACGTCGCGAAGCAAAACGAGTTATTTAAGCGGATTTGAAAAGCGTGACTTGATCGTATACAAAATTCAAACGTCTAATGTCTAAACAAAATAAGTAAGAATTACAGCGGCACTCAGTCATTAAGTTATCTCTATTATGTCAGTAAGAAAAATGTGTTCTAAATGTTCTCTTAAGGAATTAATGACTGAGTGCGTAGATATTCTATTAACATTTTGAACTAGTTTAATTTTTTTTACGATGAAAAATCTACTGAAATGTAAATCATCAAGGTGAGTATTTAAACTTTTGCAAATTAACAATACAGTGGTAGTGCCCGCTTTAACATCTTCGCACAAATGTGTCGGCTTGCCCGGTGTAATACCACGACCACACAGAAGAACACACACAGGCATGAAGTGGGAGCAATTCCATGTTTCGTCTGACGAGTGTGGTTCCGGAGGCCTAATCTTAGTACCTTTTCCTTTCCACGCTTTTCTTAAGAGGAAAGCATGGGAAGGAAAAGTGGACTTGACGGTGGGGGATAGGCACAGGAAAGGGAAATATCCTGCTTCTGTTCGCCTCGTCTTCCGTCGATTAAGGGTAGACAACGCATCGGCAATTGCAGATGTCTATGGGCAGCGGTCGCTTCGCTATTTCGGCCTATTCAGGTGGCCGCTGCTCGTTTACCAAGTAAGATAAAAAAAAAGATTGCTTGTTTTTTACATCATTAGGTATCTAAACTAGCAATTGGACACATTAATGCACTGAAATGGCGAAGCGAATCCTATACATAGACTTCCTACTTCTGATCTATGGTGTTATGCGTACCCTTTCGCCTCAAATCCACTTATAAGGAGCAAGGCAAAGGGACTAAAGTTTGGCCTTCGGCACAGACAAACGCATTACATCCAATTGACACCTGTCTTCTGTCATAATATTGCACCAAGCCAGAACATTACAGGCTAAATTAAAAATGGTATCTATTAAATCTACTGACCTGATACTCCGGAGAAGAATACAATTGAAAAACACCTCATAGTTCAGTCTTTTATGGGAAAATCACTATCACTTCCACTTCTTTAATATAAATACGTAACAGTATGGCCGGTTTCCCAGGTACATTTAACCATTAGTGTTTTTGGTTCGATGCGTTCCCGAACTACCTAATTTGATTTATAACCTTGAAATTTTGGTTAACTAACCTAACTTTGCCTAACACTAATAAATCATTAGGTAATGAAAGAAATGGAAACCACAGCCATATAATGTCACTTATAAACTCCGAATTACTTTGTTTTGACGACAGATTGTAAGCGACGCTTACGAAGTGTTTGACTCCGTTATTGCAAAACACAACACATTGTAACAAAAATTGGTATACTGTAACATTCATGCAATCATATAAGATTTAGTACTTTCATGTAGATTCACTCGTTATCGATTTTATTGTCGCACGTGTTATAAATCTATTACGATGTTGCAATAATACACTATCCCGATACATGCAATAAAATATTATACGACCGTTGTAAAATTCAATTCAAATTCCAACAATAGTTAGAACGATAAAAATTGGAGGCATAGCACGAAAATTTGCAAAGTATTGGTTGACAAATTTGTATTTATATCCACTATCGCGTATTTTTTTGACCGACTTTCCAAAAGAAGGAGGTACTCAATTCGTCTGTATGTTTTTTTATGTGTGTTGTAGCTAACTCCGCCGTTAGAGGACCGATTTTGATAATTATTTTTTATCCGAAAGGTAGTACTTGCAGGTAGGACCTATTTTTTTGTTAGATTTTTGGAGTCAAAGACTCCGACGTAGTTAAATAGTTTAGCTCAAAATTGGGTGATGAAATTATCTTTAAAAATACATGCTATTAGCTTCAGCCAGTATAGATACAATAATGTCAACATCTTCTAGCTTGAGCTTCAACTCATAGAAAAGTAGTTCGCGTCTAGTCTAGTCGCGTATAGTTTCGTACAAATTTTGTCGACATTATGAAAATTTTTCTTAAATTTTTGTGCGAGACACTCATGGTTGAATTATTGCTTGCAATATTTTGACAATGTTCTTTGAGTAATTTATGAATGTTAAATTGAATTTTACAGCTGCCTTTGTTAGATTTTTATCCGTGCACGGTTATTTCGATAAAAATTAATTACCTTACAATCATGGGCATCATTAGCGTGAGATGGTCAATGATCTAGTGGCTTATTTAGTTGCTTAAAACTTATGTAATTACTAAACAAATCTAAATCAAAGTTAACACTAAGCTTGTCCTGCATTAACTCTTAACACTTTTTAGAGAAGGCACACTTTTTTTGAATGGAGGTGCGCACACTACTCGATTTTTAGTTGTACAACTAAACAGTTGGGTGGGTTGCAAAACAATCGACAATCGCACAAAGGCTTGCGCCCGCTCTTTCTATATTCTTAAGTTTGTTAAACAAATTGAAAAGAATATGGCGAAGTGTGAACAGTAAAATTAAGTAATGTTACAATTTATTCAATTGCGTCGAGGCAATAATATTATACGAGTCTCTCTTACGACTAGTCTAGAAAATCATTTACATTTTCTTTTCTCCTGGAGAATATGATAGTCATTGTCTTTTTTAACGTATTTTCTGCTTCTATGCAGTAATAAAGTAATAAGGTTTTAGAAAAAGTAACTGAATTTTAGACGATGATGTCATCTTGATATTATAAATGCGAAAGTTTAGATGGATGTTTGTTTGAGTTTGTAGCTTAAATTGCTGAATGTATGTAAATGAAATTTGGCTTAGATGTAGAGGATAGTCTGGAAAACGATACACTGTATAGTGAAGTAACTAATTGTAAAAATATTCATTACAGTTTTGAAGTTTAATTTTTATTCTAATTTGAATCCTAATGAACATCTTATATGTTAATAATAGTTTTTATTTTTATAACTAGCTGTTCCCGTGCGATTTCATTCGCATAAAATTATGAAAATTTTATTTTGGTGTTTACATGTGTCAAATTATCAATTGCAAATGTCAAAGTGATATGACATAATGACAAACCATGGCAACCTTTCTTCCTTGATGTTGGTAGCAACTTATGGTCTCTTTCCCATATTAGGGTTTTTATCTAAAATATTTACCGCCTAAGTTTAATGGTGTGAAAATATATAGCCTAAAGCATGACGTAAGTGTAGGGCGTTTTAT